TCAGGCTCCTTTCGCTGTTCTGACCTCAGATCTACAGTCAGAATTTCGGAAAAATTGTTAGATCTTTCTCGGTACTTTTTGTCAACTTTGCCTGTCCGGTACTGTAGATGCGGTGCAATCAGTCCTAACCGAGGCACGGCAGCGGATGGAAGTTACCTTATATGGGAGTATTGGCAGTATTACCGGTTATCGCAAGTGTTCATCCTGACGTGGGTCGGGTCTGCAGGGATCAAAATACTAATCCTGGCATTGTGCTTGTTCTACTTAGATCCACCCTACGCAGAATTTACTGACAGTAAAATAGGTCTCGGAAAGCTTGCAAACAAAATTCTGACTCAAAAGGAGTGTGCAATTATATTTGAGAAAATCAGCAAATTTTGGTGTTCATTCTGACGGGGAATCACAGTACAGCTGCATAATTGTGTCGTGGCACTCTGGACGCTGTCAACAGCTTTGAGCGCGCGCAGGTCAGATAGGGGCTAATTAATACCAAGCACCTCCTAGCACGTGGTCGCGCAATGCTGTATATAATAAATGGCATGTCTGTCGACAAATAGCATATTTGGACCCTTTATAACAGCATATTTGACAGGTCTACAGAGCAGAGAATGCCAAGTCACGTGTTGGTCAGCGACTGACAGTGACCGACACGATGACTGAATGTCGGTCATTTAAAAACCGTGACCAGAACGTCGAGTTGCATCTCGGTTATGAGCTTGGCCGGTGATCCGGTCGCGCGCGGAGATCTCGGGGGAACTCAGGGGTTTGTAGATTAGAAACACATAGATAGCGTAGAATGTCTGTCTGTATCGTACAAAACCTATGTAGTACCTAATAATACCTGCTGTGTAGTATCATCTAACAAAATCTCGATGTTAACGTCCGATTCCTGCCTTGTCCTGCTTAGGAATCGAGTCTAGCTCTAATAATTTGTACATAGACATTTCTTCCTCAAAGTTCTGATGAGCAGACTGTTTATACAAGTCAGACCAGCTTTTGTTAGCAAAATTGAAGAGGTTGTGAAGGGGAATTTGCATTCTGATGATAGATGGCTGGCAAATAGGCTCCTCATCAAGTTCATCTTCATCCAAAAGACGCATGTGTTGCTGAATCAAGACATGGAATTGATCTGCAGAGGTGTTGGACTCAGATGGGATAAATTCCTTGGTCGGTTCCGGGGCAGAAACACGTGCATTGAGATCAGTTTGAGCAGTGAACATGATGTCCTTGATATTGTCAGAAGCGTTGGAAGGAATGGGAATGGTGTTAGAGGCTGGGATGATATTTTTGCAAGTCCTGTCTTGAATCAATTGTATCATGCACTTCCAACTTTCCACAGAGCGTGTATGCTCATCTCGGATCATCATCTTTAACTCTGCAAGATACTGAAGCGTGGAGGTACCTAGTCTTGAACGTAGCATTGTCATAGTGGTTCTGAAAATACTAAAAAGCCGTTCACATGATGCAGAGTTTGCTGCAACTAACAGTAGCCGTCAAGCCAGAAGAATTAAGGCCGGGATAGGCTCGCCAGAAAAGCAGAACTCAGTGTATAAAGCAATAGGATCGGGCTGCTGTCCCTGTAGATCTGTAAGCATATGTGATGTAGAATAATAATCAGAGTACATACATTTGCCTGAGCAGCAGAGCATTTTTTATCAGTCCAAACATCGAGGTGTGCAAATAGTCCTTTGTTGAATAGATAGTCTTCGACCTGACCTTTGAGCTCAAGTGGGACTTGAGAAGAAAAAAGGTGCTCCCACATGTGTTCAATAAGCATGTGGATGCCAGCATTGTTAAGGACAGGGATTTTTGCAAAGGGAGTTGTCCAATAGAAAGGATTCAGAATAACTGAAGCAATGAAGAGTTCTTGATCCGACTTGGCCCAGCGTGCCTCAAGACTAAAAATAATTGCATTGCACTCATTGTTATCACCGTCACAAATTTTACCAAGGTACTTGTCCATGAAAAATCCAAAAGTGAGAAGAACCTGATACAATCAACACTGAGAAGCCTGCGTGATATTTGCTGCAATAGCTAGAGGCTCAAGGTGCCGTGTTATGCTACAGATACTGTACTTTTACGACCATTCACTTGTCCCATGTCCCACGGACCAAGCAAACAAGCCTATAGGGATGGGACTGTCCCGCACCTATGGGGACATGGGAGCCAAAAAATGGGACATGTGGTAAAAATGGTGTAAAAATTGTAAAAATTCAGAAAGAAAAATCCCAGTGCATAAAGCAAATAACTGGTGGCCTAAGTAACTATCATACTTCTTGCTAGATACTTTTTGACACTTCTTCAACACCTTTGTGGGATCTCAACAAGGTCTGGATCAATCTTGACATCATCTGCCATTCCCGGAGCGACCCCTACTTTGCCTGCATGCCCAGGATTCAAGGTCTGAACCATGAGATCCCCGGGCTTGAGCCACATATTGTTGTTGAGCTCCTTGTTGGTTGCAAATGGGTTGTTGTGCTCACGCTTTCTTGAGCAAGTTGAGGTTGTTGTTGGATGCATCATGATTGGGCGACTTTGACATGCAGGCCCAGAGCTTGGGTGTACATCTCTCCCGCCTGAAAAAACATTGTATATGATGCTGTAGCATCATTCATGCAGGGATATGGTCACAGTAAAGTTAAAAATTCACTGGCGGTGAAACTCAACCAGACACAAGAGGGCGAATGTCCCAAAGAATGCAGACTGGCCAACCAGCCAACACCAAGTTGAGCCCACTGCACTCCTGCAGCATGGCTCGTACAACCTGAGAACAAAGGGAACTGTCAGCTATGGTAATGTCGCTGACCAATGATCTACCTGGACACCCTTGATACCAGGAAATGGAGGCTGGTAATGTTTGATGTCTCACGCTGACGTGACACATCCCTCGGAAGAATTAGCCCCTGACAAGCCAGTGTCCCGTGTCGGTCCCAAGGTGCAAGCCAAAAAGTGGGACACCCCAATTTGGTATCTACTTTTCCATAAGTAAATGGTTGTAAAAGTACAGTAGTTATTAGCAACGTCTCAGGACTGTGAATATAATGCCTACCGCTCAATAGCCTTCCAGAAATGTTGCGACTGATCTTGAATAAGGAGAAGCATAGTCAGGGCTTTTTGACAAGCCTTCTTGTCACCTGTGATAATCATTTTCTGGTTGTCTGGCCTCAAGATCTTGTTTCCCACCACAGTTCCTAATGTTTGGTGCAGCTTGATGAGTTGACGATATGCCACAAAGTGGGCAGTCCATCAAGTAATAACTGCTCAAAGAACTGAGCAAGCTATATTGCCAGTTGACAGCTGCTGTTCTCAAATTAGTGCTAGGACTAATGTTTTGCTTCAAAGCCAGGATATAAGATCGTCAGTGAGCTCTGTAAAAATAAACGTGCTTGAGCCCAACTCCTTGAGTGCTTTAAAGTAGTTGCCAACAACTAGATTAATCTACAATAATGTCAGTGAGTGAAAGACCTTAGAATTAAATATACTGGCATACCTGGTGTGCATAACAGTCAAGCACCATAAGCTCTGGATGCTGTTCTCCAAGTAATCTACGTGCTTTTTGTGATTCTCCCAATGCATCTGTAACTACGGCAATTATCAGAGCCTTCTACTCAGTATTTACTTTATCAATAACTGCCTGCAGGCAATCCAGAAGGTTGTCCGCTGTTTTCCGTTTGGCAAAAACATTGTCAACCTGCACTGTATGTACCTGTAGTAATTTATGAGCCTTTGAACTACAAATAATGATTGAAACATACCTGATTATTCACTGTTATCATGAAAGCAATGAGATGGTGGCTATTCAAGCCAGTCCAACCGTCTGCCTGTAAAGTGGCTTCGTGCCCTTGAGCAGCTGCCTGTATTGATGCACAACCCTCAGCCACAGCCTCTGGTAAAAGGCGCTGAGAAAGAGTTTGCTGAGAGGGAAGTTTTGCAGTCAGAATAAATTTATGACAGAATGCCTGCCACTCTGGATTGTCTGTCCAAGAAAATGGGAGCCCAGCAGAGACGGTGAGCCGAAGAATCCTGCGCTCAAATTCCTGCTGCAAAGCAGGAGTCCAGGCAGGAGCAGGAGGATTTATGGGCCCGAGAACAGCTTGACTAGCTCAACAAGATAATGATCCTCAAGGCTGGCCAATACCAACCGGCCAGTGAGGCGCACCAGGTAGCGAAAGGTCAATTGCAGGGCTGTTAAAAAGGCCCTGAATATTGAGAACAGATGGGGATGGAGAGGGCGCCAGACTCGGAGGGACGGATAGCAAACCAGTATTGATACTTAAAGTGTTGACAGAGGCACTGGACCCTGCACTAGAAAGCTGAGGTGCACTGCCAGCTGCTAAGGGCTGCTGGTAGTCTAAAAATCCATAACCTGCCGGCAATGTAGAATAGACTAGATAGCAGCAATGATTAGTTGAAGAAAAACAATGGAAGCATACAGACTCACCAGCACCCAGAATATATTCATCCTGGAAGTTGCTCTGGTTACTCTTTCCCTTCTTCTTGTTACCACTGAACTTTTGCCATGTCTCAATTGTCAGAAGTGACGTGGGCGCAGTATTTTATCATATGGTTCAAGGTTGTATCAGCCACACCTCAAACCCACCGCTTGGGATCAAATGCCCATACTAATAAAATAAGCCTGTTATTAGATAGCTATGCGGATAGGAATTAAGGGTACTTACAATACTCCTCAATCTCTTCAACACTGCGGAGATGAGTACGTGTGCCGTGCTCATACTCCCGCTAATCCTTACTCTGCTCAATGCCTATGTCAAAGTTAAGGCATTTAATACAATACATTTTTGGCTTTGCCGAGGGGCCCGTGCCCATGTAAGCTTCCTTAGCCTTTTTTGGGAGCAGAGGATGGGCTTGACACACCTGGACCTCCCACGGAGATAACCTAATTAGCTTGGTGCACCCGGATATGAATTACAACTAATTAGCTTGATAGCTCCCTCTCCCACACACCTCAGGTACCCTCTCAAGTAGTGTCCTCTTATAGATAGCGTCCTTTTCTGGATTTGCCAGGCACCGCGTTCGCAAAGTCAGAAGTCCCACAGCTTGCTTCGGCAGCTTGGCATGACATCGGATCCCTCCAGTTGATACATTCCTGATGACAATAGCAGTTTCTCGCTGTCTCCCGCCGCCCGCCTCCCGCCCCATACCCGCCCCTCGCTTAATCCTTTGTTTTTTTCCTCCTTGGCTAACACAGAGTTTCGGAGACCATGCCTGCAGCTCCCACGTGTCGTCCACGTGTACCTCCTTTCCCGCTCCAACCCGTCCCCTTCTGCTGTTGTTGTCTTTCTCCCCTTCCCCCTCATCGTCCCTCCTCCCGCCCCTCTTCCCGCCCCTCCGTTGTCCTCTGGCCCATACACTGCAGCCCGCAACATCCAGGATGTCCCCCAGCACCCCCTCTCCCGCCAGCCGCGGTCACGGTACATCCATCACAACGTGTATCTTCCACCACCACCTCACAGCTGGCTCTCACAACCCATAGTGGTCCTCGCCATCTCGGTACCCCTCCCTACGGCTCCATGACTCTCTCCACCTGTCTATAGAGCTTGCCAGCATGCTTCAGGATTCCCCACCGCCCTCTCACCGCCCTCGCTGTCCTCTCAGTCTCCCCATTGCCCTCAAGCTCTCCCCACCATCCTCGCGCCCTCTCGAACACCCTCCATCTCTCCTGGAAGGCCTCCCTCTGTCCCCGCTGCCCTTTCATCCTTCCCACCGCCCTATCATTGTCTCCACCACCCTCTCATTGTCCCCACCACCCTCTCACCCACTCCGACGTCCTCTCACCCACTCTGACGCCCTCTCACCCACTCCGACGCCCTCTCACCCACTCTGACGCCCCCTCACCCACTCCGACGCTCTCTCATTCTCATTGACACCCTTCATATGGCCGCCTATCTTTCATGGCACAGGCTTGGATCTCTACTACCCCTTAGCACTCTACTGCCTCCCGAAGCATAGCTTAGGCGGCTGGATTCGCCCCTGCATTGCTAGCACGCCCCCCTGGTGAGGGTACGTCACTTTCTCGGTCTATGGTTCTTTCATCACCCTCATGGCTCTACAGAATTTTGATATTACGAAGGTTTGTTATCATTGTCGTAGCTAGGACTTAGTAGTGTATTACCTTCATGCATATGTTCTGTAATATTGAAGTCTTTCACATGCCCACTCAAGCTGCGCATACTAATTCTGAGTTCCTAA